CTCTCCCCCACACACACACACTCACTCTCACACACTCTCTCTCTCACACACACACACACACACACTCTGTTGTTTCTGTTTCAGCACGTGTTTGAGCCTGTCAGTCGTTCAGTGTTTATTTTAAACTGTTTACTTTACTTTACTTTAGTTTGAAATGCTGTAGTTTGTATAATTTTCTGTTCATATTTCTCATCGTTTGTTTGTTTGTTTGTTTTTGTTTATTTCTCCAGCGTTCCATGTTCCTTTGTCCCCCGCAGAAGGTACACGTCCTTCACTTTTCCATTTTCATTTATTTGTTTTAGTTACCTTTACAGACCTGATTAAAACAGTGTCCTGTCTTTTAGTATAACAACAACAACAATAATAATATTTAATTTATTAGTTATAAATTATATTATTGGGATTTCAGTTTATTTTTTTATTTTTTATTATTATTATTTATTGTTATCTTTATATAAAGGGGTTTTGCAGGTCTTACTTTCCTGTCTTTTAGTTTAATAATAACAATAATAATTAATTAATTTATAAATTATATTATTTTTATTTATATATTAATGTATTTTTTATTTTATATATGTTTGTATTGTTTAATATTATTTTTATTTATTATTATTATTATTATTAATAATAATAATAAACAGGGTTTTTACAGGTCTTAAAAAAGTTCTTAAAAACACTATTTAAAAAAAAAAAATATATATATTTTTTGATAAATGATGCCCTAAACTTAAGCTATGTTATTTGGTAGTTTACTCGTCATTTTTTTGGATCAGTAATTGAAGGGTTCGTTCACTTGCCAGGTTTGTTTTGGTCTTGTCGTAGACGTTTAATTAAAGTTCAGGAGGAGGTAACTCAGAGTTTACCAGCGTGACTCATCACAGTAACTGACTGAGAAAACTGCGTGACACGCACTTTGCTGCTTGTAGAATCTCAACAAGCACTTTGTTGTACTTAAGCATGTTGCCCAACTACACTGTTATTCTCAGCTTGACTGTAGCCGTCTGCTCTGTTTGCTTTGCTTTCAGACACTTCATGGAGTCTTTCCTTGGTACCCACTGTATATATAATTTTTTATTTTTTTTTTAATCTTTATATACAGGGGTTTTGCAGGTCTTTCCTGTCTTTTAGTTTAATAATAACAATAATAATTAATTTATTTATAAATTATATTATTTTTATTTATATATGAATGTATTTTTTATTATATATATTTTTTTTTATTGTTTAATATTATTATTATTTATTATTATTATTTTTAATAAACAGGGTTTTTGCAGGTCTTAAAAAGTTCTTAAAAACACTAAATTCCACAAATTAAGGCTTTAAAAGGGCTTAAATCAGAGCAGAAAGTCTTAAAATGCATTGTCATGGCATTAAATGTTGTACACATTGCAAAAAAATATCTTCCTCAGTGTTTTGTCTTTTATTTCCCAATGCAAATATCTACACATTTGCTTTGCTTGAGACATAAAATGAAAATATGAATGCTTGTTTTCTGAGAAAATGAACACAATTAAGTGAGTCTATGCTTGAAACAAGAACAAATGTCTGTCAGTAAGACTTTGAATGAAGTTTTTCTGAGCCCATTGACAAGTTTTTGTTCTTGTTTTAATCAAATTAAATTCATTTTGATCAGCTTTTCAGAAAAATCATTTAGAGACCATATTGACACATTGTGTCCCATTTAATTTATTTCTTAACATTTCTTTACTCGGTCTTAAAAAGCTGTACATTTACCTTCATAAAACCTGTATATATTTGACTGTATTATTGCATTTGTATAGTGTTTTTTCAGAGCTCGATATTAGTTCACTTTTAAGATTGAGCTGTAAATATTCACAACATTGATGTTACACAATTCAGAAGTGTGTTGTAGCAGGAATATTAATGGCTAGTCTTTATTTATATCCATAGTTCGTCCTGGCAGCGTGAGAAACATCATTCAGCAGTTTGAGAATAATTCAGACTCCATTGAAGAAGGGGACAGTGAGGGACAGCAGTTGTCTTCCAGCAGCTTTGGAGAGGACAGCATGGACAGGTCACAGCATGCAGATGTTATATAAGCAGGATATTTCACTTTTAGATGGTTCTCACAAGACGTTCCAGCTTTAATGATTTGATGTTGATTGCATTCGTTTATTCTCCTCCTCAGTCCGACCATATCGGTGCGTTTGGCTCGCAGCGAGTCTTTGAAGGCTCAGGGGGAGGGGCGTCGGCGAGGAGGCGGGCCGGGGGCGGAGTCTGTCCCTCGTTCCCGTAGCGATGTGGACATGGAGGACTGTGAGGAGAGGGAGGGGCCGGGACTGAGGCCGTTACATCACAGCGCCTCGTCTTCAGCCTCCAGCAGCTCGGCACGGTACAAACACACAGACACGTAAAAAACCCTCTTTTTTTAAATCGACAAAACACACTATTCCACATCCAGCTCAATGCTGTCCTTCAAACACACGTGCACACTGCATGCTATGAACACACACTGTATGATTAATATATGTGACTCTGGAGCACAAAAGCAGTCTTAAGTCGCTGGGGTATATTTGTAGCAATAGCCAAAAATACATTGTATGGGTCAAAATTATAGATTTTTCTTTCATGCCAAAAATCATTAGGATGTTAAGTAAAGATCATGTTCCATGAAGATATTTTGTAATTTTCCTACCGTAAATATATCAAAACTTAATTTTTGATTAGTAATATGCATTGCTAAGAACTTAATTTGGACAACTTTAAAGATGATTTTCTCAATATTTTGATTTTTTTGCACCCTCAGATTCCAGATTTTCAAATAGTTGTATCTCGGCCAAATATTGTCCTATCCTAACAAACCATACATCAGTGGAAAGATATTTATTCAGCTCTCAGATATATAAATGTATAAATCTCAATTTCGAAAAATGTACCCTTATGACTGTTTTTTTGGTCCAGGGTCACATATCTCTATGCTACACTTTGTGTAAAAGAGTTATATAGCACAGTTTAAACGGACAGTTTAATTCCCTATATTAAAAATGGAAATAATAATGATAAAGATGGTAAAGAAAAAGAGGAACGTTCTGCAGGAGCACACACATTCTCTCTGTTACGGTCATTTCTTTATTCTGTAAATGTATGAAACGTCTTACATTTATATTCAATCACACTCTGTTATCCCTTTACAGTTACTATCATAAAACACTTGAATTACATGTTGACTTTTAAACCTGAATTTAACGTCCAATAACAGATATATCAGCAAAATTACTATTATTGCACTGAATATTACTAATATTTACGCGTGCCGGCGCTCGTTCAGTGAAGTCTGAAGTTTAACGCACATGGACGAGTCTTCATGCAAAATAGAAACATTCACGTGAATATGTAACATTTACAGAAAAGGGTATTACAGTAAAATGCAGTTTATGCGCCGAGGAAACATTTCTCACACATTAAATGACACATGCATCTGTCAAAGCGCCTGACAGGACGAGCCGTGTTAAATATTACACTAATGCATTAGCTTGAAGTTTAAAGGTCCCATGACATGCTGCTTTTTGGATGCTTTTATATAGGCCTAAGTGGTCCCTAGTACTGTATCTGAAGTCTCTTTCCCGAAATTCAGCCTTGGTGCAGAATTTCAGCCACTACGAGCCAGTCCCACAATGAGCTTTCCTTAGGACATGCCATTTCTGTGTCTGTAGCTTTAAATGCTAATGAGGAGGAGAGAGGCGGGGCAACTGCCATGCTTCGCTCGTTTGCAAGCCATGATGTCTCTCGAGGAAAAAAATATATTGCGCTCGCCTCGCACGGTAGTAGCTCATTTTCTCGTGGGCGGGCCAAATTCTCTGGGCGGGCAAAGCAGAGAAAGGGGAGGTAACCTTTCCCCGTATGACGACATAAAGGGAAGATTCCAGATTGGGCCATCTGAGCTTTCATTTTCTCAAAGGCAAAGCAGGATACCCAGGGCTCGGTTTACACCTATCGCCATTTCTAGCCACTGGGGGACCATAGGCAGGCTAGAGGAACTCATATTAATGTTAAAAAACCTCATAAAGTGACATTTTCATGCCATGGGACCTTTAAAATAAAGCATTCTCATGTTTCGGGCAGCTTGGATCACGCATCTTTCCCGCTGCAGCTCGCTCTGTTTCGTCCGCTATTTTTAGATGCATTTCGTCCATAGAAATGCATTATTCACTGCAGTAATTTGACGCGACTGGCAGAAGTTTTGCGTGCGCGTTGGGAAGACGCGACCAATCGATAATGACATCCGTTGTTGATTATTTTCATTTAGTGGTCGACCGATATGGGATTTTTAATGGCCGTTGCCAATATTGAGAAATCAATCTGGCCGATATGAAGCCGATATAATACTGTGCTGCGGATCTGATGTCTCACGGTACGTTTGAATAAGACTTTGAGTGTTATTGTATGTAACACAACGTAGCGTCACGCTAGAAAGTGAATGGCAATTGGTAATTGTACTGTCTGTCAGGTGCTGGCTTCACGTCTCAGTGGCTTGTCTTAAAGAGGAAGCACAAATGCACGATGTGGTGTCATAATCCGTTTTGAAAAACATCAGCCACACGGAAAGACTTATCGGCCGATATTTAAAAAAAGGCAGCGGCTATTTGTGTAAATAGCAATGGATTCCATTTACACTAAGTGAAAATAGCAGTATTTTTAACAATATGCTATTTACACAAAGTGCAGATAGCGAAAGATTCTATTTACACTGTTAAAATAGCAGGATTTTCTGTTATGTATACTACTTATTGCAAATAGTGGCAATTATCTGCACCTCAGTATCATAGTACATTATAAAACAGTATGCAGTAATAACGTATTGAGTGTAAATGATCATTTTAATTCAAATTATTAAATGGATGCCACCTTATTGG